TTGTTATGCCAGGTGCCGAGTGTCAGGCCGCGGCCGGCATATGGCAGAGACATGTCCATCCATCTCTGGGACCACCTACTGCCGTGTATGGGGGGTCTCATTTACATTACAAGTATCCCCGGACTGTGCCGGAATGCAGTGTCCCCGGAGTCACAGAGATCAGAGGAATCTGCCTTGCTGGAGTCCAAAGGAAGAGAGGAAATTAGAGCCACCAGAGAAGGGAAGGGGTCCGGGACCACTCCATAGAGGAGGAACAGAGGGAAGAGGTGCGGGACCCCTCCATAGAGGAGGAACAGAGGGAAGAGGTGCGGGACCCCTCCATAGAGGAGGAACAGAGGGAAGAGGTCCGGGACCCCCATAGAGGAGGAACAGAGGGAAGGGGTCCGGGACCCCCAATAGAGGAGGAACAGAGATAAGAGGTGCGGGACCCCTCCATAGAGGAGGAACAGAGGGAAGAGGTCCGGGACCCCCATAGAGGAGGAACAGAGGGAAGGGGTCCGGGACCCCCAATAGAGGAGGAACAGAGATAAGAGGTGCGGGACCCCCATAGAGGAGGATCAGAGGGAAGAGGTGCGGGACCCCCCCATAGAGGAGGAACAGAGATAAGAGGTGCGGGACCCCCATAGAGGAGGATCAGAGGGAAGAGGTGCGGGACCCCCCCATAGAGGAGGAACAGAGATAAGAGGTGCGGGACCCCCATAGAGGAGGATCAGAGGGAAGAGGTGCGGGACCCCCCCATAGAGGAGGAACAGAGATAAGAGGTGCGGGACCCCCATAGAGGAGGATCAGAGGGAAGAGGTGCGGGACCCCCCCATAGAGGAGGAACAGAGATAAGAGGTGCGGGACCCCCATAGAGGAGGATCAGAGGGAAGAGGTGCGGGACCCCCCCATAGAGGAGGAACAGAGATAAGAGGTGCGGGACCCCCATAGAGGAGGATCAGAGGGAAGAGGTGCGGGACCCCCCCATAGAGGAGGAACAGAGATAAGAGGTGCGGGACCCCCATAGAGGAGGATCAGAGGGAAGAGGTGCGGGACCCCCCCATAGAGGAGGAACAGAGATAAGAGGTGCGGGACCCCCATAGAGGAGGATCAGAGGGAAGAGGTGCGGGACCCCCCCATAGAGGAGGAACAGAGATAAGAGGTGCGGGACCCCCATAGAGGAGGATCAGAGGGAAGAGGTGCGGGACCCCCCCATAGAGGAGGAACAGAGATAAGAGGTGCGGGACCCCCATAGAGGAGGATCAGAGGGAAGAGGTGCGGGACCCCCCCATAGAGGAGGAACAGAGATAAGAGGTGCGGGACCCCCATAGAGGAGGATCAGAGGGAAGAGGTGCGGGACCCCCCCATAGAGGAGGAACAGAGATAAGAGGTGCGGGACCCCCATAGAGGAGGATCAGAGGGAAGAGGTGCGGGACCCCCCCATAGAGGAGGAACAGAGATAAGAGGTGCGGGACCCCCATAGAGGAGGATCAGAGGGAAGAGGTGCGGGACCCCCCCATAGAGGAGGAACAGAGATAAGAGGTGCGGGACCCCCATAGAGGAGGATCAGAGGGAAGAGGTGCGGGACCCCCCCATAGAGGAGGAACAGAGATAAGAGGTGCGGGACCCCCATAGAGGAGGATCAGAGGGAAGAGGTGCGGGACCCCCCCATAGAGGAGGAACAGAGATAAGAGGTGCGGGACCCCCATAGAGGAGGATCAGAGGGAAGAGGTGCGGGACCCCCCCATAGAGGAGGAACAGAGATAAGAGGTGCGGGACCCCCATAGAGGAGGATCAGAGGGAAGAGGTGCGGGACCCCCCCATAGAGGAGGAACAGAGATAAGAGGTGCGGGACCCCCATAGAGGAGGATCAGAGGGAAGAGGTGCGGGACCCCCCCATAGAGGAGGAACAGAGATAAGAGGTGCGGGACCCCCATAGAGGAGGATCAGAGGGAAGAGGTGCGGGACCCCCCCATAGAGGAGGAACAGAGATAAGAGGTGCGGGACCCCCATAGAGGAGGATCAGAGGGAAGAGGTGCGGGACCCCCCCATAGAGGAGGAACAGAGATAAGAGGTGCGGGACCCCCATAGAGGAGGATCAGAGGGAAGAGGTGCGGGACCCCCCCATAGAGGAGGAACAGAGATAAGAGGTGCGGGACCCCCATAGAGGAGGATCAGAGGGAAGAGGTGCGGGACCCCCCCATAGAGGAGGAACAGAGATAAGAGGTGCGGGACCCCCATAGAGGAGGATCAGAGGGAAGAGGTGCGGGACCCCCCCATAGAGGAGGAACAGAGATAAGAGGTGCGGGACCCCCATAGAGGAGGATCAGAGGGAAGAGGTGCGGGACCCCCCCATAGAGGAGGAACAGAGATAAGAGGTGCGGGACCCCCATAGAGGAGGATCAGAGGGAAGAGGTGCGGGACCCCCCCATAGAGGAGGAACAGAGATAAGAGGTGCGGGACCCCCATAGAGGAGGATCAGAGGGAAGAGGTGCGGGACCCCCCCATAGAGGAGGAACAGAGATAAGAGGTGCGGGACCCCCATAGAGGAGGATCAGAGGGAAGAGGTGCGGGACCCCCCCATAGAGGAGGAACAGAGATAAGAGGTGCGGGACCCCCATAGAGGAGGATCAGAGGGAAGCTTTAGGTGTATTTGCAGCCTCCGTTGTAGTGAACGCCTCTGTGGAGCCTCCACTGCGGACGTTTCTGTAGCGACGTCATTGAACCTCGGAAGTTATCTGTGCGAAGCGTCACCGGCGGCGCTCCGGCCCACTCCAGCCGCAAGACGTCTTCTCTCTCTCATGCAGTGACAGCGAGGACACAATGCCGGGAAGAGCGTGACGCACTTATCACTTTGTATTCAGTTCTAGAAGATCATTTATTGATGGACATTATTATTTCCGTACGGCCTCCGAAGTCCTCACAATGGAGGCGGTCGCGCTGTACTCCATGTTTCCTACATCCAATATGGCGGCATACATGCGTGGATCTGTTGCAGTGATGGGGACAGACAATAAAACTGTTGCTGCTTTTAAGGTACCGAGTTTGGGGCGCGTGTCGGTGTCTCTAATGAAAGTTCTGCGCAATCTTCATGAATTTCACATTTCTGACAACAGCCGCCCCGCCGTGCGGGAAATGTCTCATTGAATCGCCGCGAGTGTCCGCGAGCCCAGCAAAGGGCGTGCGGGAAATGTCTCATTGAATCGCCCCGAGTGTCCGCGAGCCCAGCAAAGGGCGTGCGGGAAATGTCTCATTGAGTCGCCCCGAGTGTCCGCGAGCCCAGCAAAGGGCGTGCGGGAAATGTCTCATTGAGTCGCCCCGAGTGTCCGCGAGCCCAGCAAAGGGCGTGCGGGAAATGTCTCATTGAATCGCCCCGAGTGTCCGCGAGCCCAGCAAAGGGCGTGCGGGAAATGTCTAATTGAATCGCCCCGAGAGTCCGCGAGCCCAGCAAAGGGCGACATCCAGCCCTGATGAAGGGGCATCGTCCCTGGAAACGCGTTGGGCGATACTCCCGCGGCTGTATAATGCAGAAGGAAGATTATCTGCAATGTCTTTGTTTTCCAGAATGGCGCGGTGCCCGGAGAAGTCGCGAAGAGAGACGAGAACGTGAAGAGAGGGAACTGGGAGAACCAGATAGAGTTCGTCTTAACCAGCGTGGGGTACGCCGTCGGTTTGGGAAACGTCTGGAGGTTCCCGTATCTCTGCTATAGAAATGGGGGCGGTAAGTCACATGTGCACATGAAATGAATGGAGACCCAGCGGGCGGAATCCCCGACAATACTCTCACTGCAAAGAATCCCTCCAGCAGCCTTCCCGCCTCTCTAATCTCTCCTCCCTCTCTCCTCAGGAGCCTTCATGTTCCCGTACTTTATCATGCTGGTCTTCTGCGGCATCCCACTCTTCTTTATGGAGCTCTCATTCGGACAGTTTGCCAGTCAGGGGTGCCTCGGGGTGTGGCGGATCAGCCCTATATTTAAAGGTAAGAGGACCTGTCATTACCGATCACACAAAGAATAAAGCGTTGGCTTCAATGACAACAAAAGATACAAATCTTCAAGAACCAGCAACCAATGAATGTCCTCCCCAATATATTCACCAATGTATCCTCCAATGAATGTCCTCCCCAATATATTCACCAATGTATCCTCCAATGAATGTCCTCCCCAATATATTCACCAATGTATCCTCCAATGAATTTCCCCCCCAATATATTCACCAATGTATCCTCCAATGAATGTCCTCCCCAATATATTCACCAATGTATCCTCCAATGAATGTCCTCCCCAATATATTCACCAATGTATCCTCCAATGAATGTCCTCCCCAATGTATCCACCAATGTATCCTCCAATATATCCACCAATGAGGATACATTGGTGAATACATTGGTGGATACATTGGTGAATACATTGGAGGATACATTGGTGAATACATTGGAGGATACATTGGTGAATACATTGGAGGATACATTGGTGAATACATTGGAGGATACATTGGTGAATACATTGGAGGATACATTGGAGGATACATTGGTGAATACATTGGAGGATACCTTTACTGACCACGACACATGAAAGCAGAGATGTGAAAGTGATTCCCGCAGCCGATCTCTCTGGGATTTGTACTCCTGCGGATTATCTAACGGCCGTTTCCCTTCCCCCCCCAGGCGTAGGTTACGGGATGATGGTCGTCTCCACCTATATCGGTATTTATTACAACGTGGTGATTTGTATCGCGTTCTACTACTTCTTCATGTCTATGAGCCGGGTCCTGCCCTGGACCTACTGCAGCAATTGGTGGAACACCGAGAACTGCGTCGGGGTGCTGAGCCCCTCCAGCAACTCCTCCAACTTCACCGCCCACCAGAACCTCTCCACCATCCTGAACCAGACGGTGAAGAGGACGAGTCCCAGCGAGGAGTACTGGAAGTGAGTGCGCCGAGACTACGGCTTCATTCTAACAGAGGAGATTGTATTCCCTTCAGGGAGAGAGTCCGAGCCCCCCACAAATGTACAGAACGGGGTCACTTCCTGCAGCTGTCATTTCCAGAGTTCACCCGCAGCGCCACCTACTGGCAGAGCGTGAGGCATGACCGGTGAGACTTAAAGTGGACCTGTCACTAGGTCTGCAAAAATACATTCCCGACATGTCATTATTTATCAAAAGGCAGGAGGAAGCATTTCCTTAGTCTCCCCTCCCCCCAGTGATCAGTCTGCGGCAGGCAGGAGGAAGCACCTCCTCAGTCTCCCCTCCCCAGTGATCAGTCTGCGGCAGGCAGGAGGAAGCACCTCCTCAGTCTCCCCTCCCCAGTGATCAGTCTGCGGCAGGCAGGAGGAAGCACCTCCTCAGTCTCCCCTCCCCAGTGATCAGTCTGCGGCAGGCAGGAGGAAGCACCTCCTCAGTCTCCCCTCCCCAGTGATCAGTCTGCGGCAGGCAGGAGGAAGCACCTCCTCAGTCTCCCCTCCCCAGTGATCAGTCTGCGGCAGGCAGGAGGAAGCACCTCCTCAGTCTCCCCTCCCCAGTGATCAGTCTGCGGCAGGCAGGAGGAAGCACCTCCTCAGTCTCCCCTCCCCAGTGATCAGTCTGCGGCAGGCAGGAGGAAGCACCTCCTCAGTCTCCCCTCCCCAGTGATCAGTCTGCGGCAGGCAGGAGGAAGCACCTCCTCAGTCTCCCCTCCCCAGTGATCAGTCTGCGGCAGGCAGGAGGAAGCACCTCCTCAGTCTCCCCTCCCCCAGTGATCAGTCTGCTGCAGGCAGATGGTGCCGTCTGTTACTAGAGCAGGACACTCGGGTTCCTCCACCAAGCAGGTGCCCCCGTGTCTGTATGGAGCTTTGTACACGGGGGACAGAAAAGGGTCTTCACCAAACTGTGACCACAAGGCCGGAAGAGGATGGAGGACCCTTCACTGGGGACCCCTGAACTCCATGATTGGAGGGGTTCACATACTTTGTCCCATAGAGTGTCTATACAGACAGTAGTTGGTATACTGCAGTCATATGTAGCACCGTTCAGTGAGTCGGGCCCGCAGTGTGGAATGTGCGTTGCACGGAGCTGGGCCGGCACTCGGTTTCCTCGTATTGTGTGCGCCGGGGTTTTGCCTTCACACGGCCGCACAGTATAAGGTGCTGATTTCCAAACGTCAGCTCAATGGGCAATTGTGTCATTGTTCCAGTGGCTGGCGCCTCGCGCTCCATGTCCCCTCAGCAGTCCCCGCGAAGAACAAAGCGCTGGAGATGGCGGCGATAAGACACTTTCCGCGCTGAGATCACCGAAACGCCAAAGAATTTACAGGACTCATCTCCTCCCCCACCCATCTTCATGAGTGGTATAGATGGCCCTGTACTTG